GAATGGAAATGACAACAGCAATACAATACAATACAAAACAATGTATTCTTGTATAGTATTAACAAAACCATTGAAATCACCAACACAGGTCAGAGAATCAACAGTTAAAACACATGAAAAATAGAAAGCACACACAGAAAAAAAAAATTCCATACATGCTGTAGAATGTTAAAGTGTCCTGGATCATCAGCAATCCTTTTTGTTCAACACAGAACTTGCTTTTTTAGGATTTGTTTGTCTCTTTGCTCCAGTGCTTAACCTCTTAAACTCCTACATCTGTTTTGGCTCGTGCACAAAAGTTTGGCATACCCAAATGTCTTTGCTTATTTAAAAACACATCTTACATCTCACATGTTTGTGTGATGCATCATTTTAAAGCTAGGCCCTTCTAGTTTATGTAAATATACATTGAAATAATGTATGTCAATCCAATTTCACTCTGCATCCTTTGAAGTTTGGGAAAAAAACATGTTTTTTTAGCCTTGCCTAAAAAATGCAATGTATAAATGCCCGAAAAAAGCCTACTTCATTGGAAGAAGAAACATTTCAACGCCAATTGGTTCATTGTGTCATTGACAACAACTGTGTAAAGTTTCAGACTTCTAAGTTTTATAGTTTTTATGCAGTTTCTCTTTTTTATCAAGTAGCGCCATTCGGAACCAATTTGGCAAAATGTGTGCCAAATTGTGCCAAACTGCTTTACTAACATTTCACCATCATAAAAAGCATATGTTTTAGTTTTGGTACTTATATGTTACAAATCTGTGTAATTTTCTTTTACATTTTTTCAAAATTATTTTGTAGTGTAAATGCATATAAAATATGTGCAGCAGTACTAACAGCGTCTTTACGCATGCTTTTACTGTGAAAATGAAAAGAGTTCCTACAAGTCCCACCCATCAAAAGAAAGCTCTTTTTATTGGCTACTTAGACACCTCAATCATTCAGTGCTAGCACATTGCCAGTGGGGGCGGGTCCCAGCTCAAAAGTGGCCAAAATGACGTGCGCTGACATGCTTGCAATACCACCCCGGGCCGATGGGGGTGGACCCAGAAGAAGAATTAGCCAATGCTAACATATAGTATTGGCAGACCTCTCAAAAACGTCTTTACAGGATGGACCAAAAGTTGGCTCTTGGCCCAAAGCTCCGTTCCACATGTGTGTCAATGCTGAGGGGGGTGAATATTTTTTTTTTTGCAACAGAAAAATGCACATTTTTGGATTATTTCTGAAGAATGGATTATACTTTGGGAAATACAAGTGGATATTCTTTTTCAATGAAGACTTACGGAGAGAAAGACACTGAGCAAGGATGGGGAAAGTCTAATTTGTTGGAGCAGCAGAAGACGAAAGGTAAAAAACTTATACAAACGTGATTTATTTTGTGCCCATATTATGCGTTATATCGTTTTAATACAAAGTCTGATATTGTTTACACTTACATATAAATATAGCTGAGAAAATAAGCTTTAAAATGATATATAGCTTGTGGCTTATGAAGTTCAAAATACATCTGCTATTGCCAGCGGATGTATTTTTGTTCTCGTTTGCCCCCGCCGGCGGGGGCTATAGCGAGCTTAAGAAGATGGGGTACCTAACTTTGTATGGTTTCGCAATATCTTGTTTATGTAACATTTTATGAACATATCAGACTGTTGCATGCCGTTTTGATCCTATTAGAAAACATTTGTCTTACATACTGAAAGCTGAGTAAGACAGGGGCTGAGATGGGGCTGGAACTCTCTTTTTCACTGGCAAAGCTGATCTTAAAATGTGACAGAGGCCAACAATACACGTGAAAACAGGTGATAGAAACTGTTGTGAGGGCAAGGATATAGTCACATTGACTGTTAGCTTATTTGTTGTGGTTTTAAAGTTATTCAGCTTTAAAGGACGGTGATCTTTAAATGATAGCTTATAATGCGGCAATACTTTTACTAGTCCAGGTTCATGTAAACAACACAATGTTACACTCTATACCAAAGTATAGGGGAAATTAATTGTATTAACACTAGAACTCCCAGAGCAGTCAATTTGACGGCTTTAGTTTTGGATGTGTAATTTGGTGTATGTGCGTTTGTGGTGTTCCTAACTTTGTGACTGTTTCTGTTTCTATATGTCGTTAATTTCTGCGCCATTTTTTTTATGAAATTATCTTTTTTGAAACGGAAGTAGTCCCCATAGCTACACTCTGTTTACTACCCAGCAGTTAGCATTATGTAGCCTTTGAACAAACTGTTTTTGCTGTATTTCAAGTTATATACACCAGTCTTAGCTCTTTGTAAAAGTGAATTAAGGTTAAAAAAAAAAAAAGAAAGAAGAAGAAATACCCCAGTGGAAAAAATTGTTGGGGGAATTTCTTGGAATGTTATTAGTTTGATTGGGAGCAGTCACAATTACGCCTCTGGGAGTTATGTAGTTTCATCATTCTGGGAGTCCTAGTGTTAAATCAATGATAGCAATTTGTGGGCCTCCCATACAGAACTCCTAAATCAAAATGATCTCATTGACTCATTTGTTTTTGTTTACATCTATACATGCGTGCCTCCATCCTTTAGCTGCCATAGAAAAGGGATGAACAAGGAAAAGGTCTGTGCGAGCGCTGTCTGTCAAAGCAGGAACTGGGCGGAGACTGAAGTTGACCTCTGGGGGCAAGAACTTCCCAAGCCGTGTTCAAAACAACAGTGTCCAGCAGCTGACAGGAGGACACTGACCACGTCCCCCCCCCCCTGACGGTCCCCTGTTTACTGTCCTACCAGATTACAATGGAGTCCTGGCACTTTGCAGAACTCATGTGCCGCTATCACTGTTACGATACGATCAGTGAGGAATGTGTGAGTGAAGAGACATGTTTGTAATGGCAGCAACGGACGTTTGGGAGGGCCCTGAGCAGCTCCTCTGGCTCACCTGCACTGTTTACACTGTGACACAAAATATACTATGAGTCAGGGCGAGTGTGGGACTACGAATGACAACGCATGTGTGAGTCAGAAGGATTACCAAAAGATATGTACACAAACAGGCGGCAACAAATTCATCTTATATGCAAATTAGGGTCAGGACTAGAGCTTTTGAAGAGAGGTCGGGAAATCATGATTTTACAGTTCAAAGTGCACAAAATGGTCCATATTTGAGGGAAAGATGATGAAGTGCATGAAGGTATGGTAAGGTATTATATATGATATATGTACACAATTAAAATGTATTTATCATTAATACAATAATACATTCTGCACAGATTTTTCAGCACACTAAACACTGAATAAAAAATACTGAATATAGAGTTGTATTATGAATATGCCAAGAATTTATATAAGTAAATTAATTCAGATCAGATTAATAATTGCTGTCTCTTTGTGTCTTCATCATTCGCTACATGCAGCTACTAAAAATGTGATTTAGATGATCAAGTGTCCCCAACCTTTTTCACACAGAGAGCTTCTTTACCGAGACGATATAGGCAGAGAGCTACTCCTTTAAGCGGCCCTGGGGAAAATGTGAAGATATATTATTGTGAATGAGCCTGATCTTGGATGAAGTCATTATTCATCATTGCATAATTGTTACTAGTGCACAAAGTAAGTGCATTTACAAGAATAAATGATGATAATGAATAATACAATCTGAAATATGAAGTATAATATTTGATTTGTTCATTTCTAAATCCTTTGGCGAGCTACCTGGAAGGGGGTGGTGAGCTACTGGTGGCTCCTAAGCTACAGGTTGGAGACCCCTGATCGAGATTAATATTGCACTATTAAAATAGTTGACTATAAGTTATAGATAGTATAGTATAGTAATAACATGTGTATGCACTATTGTGTTCTGCAGTTAATGGTTGACAACACCGCTAGTTTAATTAGAGGATTGGCAGTTTCAACCAAAATCATGGGTTCCGCATTCATTATATATTGAATATTTTTTTTAACAAATTGGGTATTTGGGAATTGATAACAGGAAAATAATGATAAGCCTGATGCTGATAGTATATAAACAAATACATAAAAAACAATAGAAATGCAAACCCTGCAAACCAGGGTTTCATGCCACATCTTTGACCATGCATGGGAAAATGTAAGGTAGGCCGTTTGTTGAAATATATATCACTATGTAACAAATAGCTTGTCTATTGAGTAAACAAACCCAAAATATGTATGTGAAAAGTGGTGGAGACCCATTTGTGCGTGCAACAGACTGCTCCAGACTGTAAACAGATACAAACTAGTTTCCTCCTGTCTTGCCAGAGGTTGCTGTGTTTGCATAGAATTTGCATATTTGACGGTATTACTACATGTTTTTTCCTTGAGCGCCGTTTGAGTTTGAACTGCATTTCTGAGTGGCACATAGGTCATGAGAGACTTTGGCTGACCAATCATTTCAAGTGTCTACTGATTAACAAACACAAGCTGCGACTGGCTCAGAGAGGACTGGAAGAGTGTCGTGAAAGGCTGTAGCTGCATGCTGGGGGAAATAATTACATTTTATCTTTGTGGAGTTTGACTCAAGAAAGTGTTAAATATGACTCAAGGCTACAATTGGTGCCATTCGGAACAAGTCATCTGTATTATCCCACGCATGCTTCGTGGTCCTTGCGTAAGGCACTTGCCCCATGTGTACATGAGTAAATGGTTGCTTACTCTAAAGCCTGTTGAATGGGTAGAACTCGTTATCAATATATTATTTGCAAACAACTTCCTGATGGTTATCATATTCTACATGGGATTCAAACTGATTCCATACGCGCAATGTCATGTCCCCACTTCATAGATCTTACCTGTCTTTTTCAGCGTTATTTAAGTGCCCACAAATCAATTACACAATCCTACTCAAAATATTACAGACTGAAGACAGATGTAAGTTAATCTAATGCTCATGCTCTTAATACAGCAGTGGAAAGACTTAGCCAAACCATCCATGGAGGTTGTAAACAAGGGATCCTCCTTACCAAATAACTATTTAGAGATAGGAATGATTCGCCTCCCTTTTTAGGATCTGTGACAATGCAAGCCACACACCAGGCAGCTGTAGTGTTGTCTGATGGGATACTATGGGACATCAACAACATCAGCAATAGTGAGTTAATACAGAGATTGTCTGAAGCCTGACTTTAAGTGAAAGGAATTCCAGATGAGCAGATTATGGCATTCACAGACAGTCTGCTGTGGACATATGACATATTGTCTGTCTCAAAACTGTGTCTAGTTGTGTTTAGATTTTAATGTCAACATAGAAAGGCAGGGGTAGAGCGTGTTCACTTTGTAGCCTGGGGAAGACCATTATGTGAGCCCCATTAGGTCTTGTAAGAGTAGGTTTTTTTTTTTCTCTTGATGTTTATACAGTGCTGTTGTGAACAGAGCAAGTTTTCCCCTTGTCCTCTTTCCCTCTCCCAGCTGCTGATCCACACTGACCGAGGTGGTCTCTATGTAAACACCAGGCGGCTTTAAGTGGAAGACAATGAGGAAATGACAGGAGGAGGACAGCATGGGGGTGGGGGCATTTGGACACATACGAGGATGGATTTCCAGATGAAACGGCGTGATGACATCATGGCAAAGTCAGCTCGTAGGAACATGGAGGAGCCTAGTAATGCAACACCATACATAAACATGGGACAGCTGTATTTATAGGAGATTGTCCCAAGGTTTTATCAGCCTTCATAAATCCTATTATCTGATTTTGGGCTATTCTCCTGCCCAGACTTTGTCCTAATTACTTGAGTTCATATGGCTTAATTAAAAAAGGTAAACATGCTACTCAATGTTATTGCAGTTTAGATATATTTTGCCATCAACCACAACTGGATACACCCCAAGATCAGATAAGGCCAACGGTGCTTGAGAATCCCACTGACAGTTGTGAGATATTTGGAACTCACCCATGCTGTCACAGAAGTGGGTGGCCCTCATAGAAAATTAAAAAAAAGTCATGAAGGCACATCACATAGTTGGAGAAACAGTAACAACAGCCAATCAATGGAAGTCCAGATGGCAGTAAAGGAATACACCTGCTATGACAGAACTCCTACTGTCTCTTCATAGATGCTGTCTTGATAGGAAAAAGACACACAAATCAAGAAAAAGTACTCACATATCTCCTGAGTTTCTTCTCAGGTGGTGACTTTCGCAGCCAACCCTGGAAGATGATCTCTCCTCCGCTCATAATTGCCAGAGTTCCTTCCTTGCTTCTCTCACAGGCTGCCGAGCTTCGTTAATTCATTGCGACTATCCAAGATCGTAAACACAACAGACTTTACGGGCATCTCGCTGGTTGTCCGGACAGGCGGCAGCGCGTTCCCCCCATTTGACGTCAAGCGGACCGCGGCGGTGGTGGTGGCGGTGCGCTACTCCAGTGCGCAATGGTGGAGAGGTGTTTTACGCACGGACGGCTGCCGAAGACCCGCGAAGGAACTGAACTGATGCGGCCGAAGGAAGTAGCACGGGGTGTCTGCTGTTTGTTTTCCCAACTCTTACCACGCCCACCGAGCTGCCGAGGGATGGACTGCACCAGGGCCAGAGGATGGAGAAGAGTTTAGCTATAACCACAGGCCAAAACAATGATGCAGTTAGTTTGTCATGGTCTAGGCTCGTGTATTTCTGTGCGCTGTTGTTGTTGTTGATGTTATTTCCCTCATTGGACTTGTAGGCATTAAAGTGTTGGTTTGATCTTTTATTTTTTCAACAACAAAAACGCTCCTAAATTCAAACAATTTTTCATCAATAGTTTAAAGAATATAATATTAGTTCTTTACGATTAAAAGTTCGTAATTTGAATAGAAGACACCGTTTAGTAATCTTAGCCCAAGGAACCATGCCACCTGGTGGAGGTTTGACATATTACTATCACTTGTGCACTACATTGAAATATGTCATGATAATCATACTAATTTATAACCGTACTACGTGTCTTCCCACTCAAGTGTTAAGATCTTCTAAAATAAAGTAAGGACAATAAAAAAATGTCTTTAAAAATACATTTATACAACAGTTACAGAAGACAAGAATGTGAGAATCGTGGAAAAGGAATAACATCTTTGATGTTGTCGATTCCCAGGATGCACTGCAGATATCTTTCAAATCCCATTCCAAAGCCACCATGAGGAGCAGAGCCAAAACGTCTCAAATCAAGGTACCTGCACAGACAACAATACAATTGGCCAACTTTGATACTTTGTTACAATAACTTATTTGAATTTCACTAACCAACTGTAGGTCTCCTCCAGTCCAGCTCTAGAAACCAAATTACAGAATTTAAAGACAAAGGTAGAGTCCAATATGACATAGTACACATCTACGAGCTCATGATGTCTAGGTGATTATGCTGTGTGGCTCTGAGAAGTACTACACTGAACTATAGTATATTATTTAATAATCATGAGTCTTACGCCTCCAGGCGAGCAGTGAGCAGATCGAGTCTCTCCTCTCTGAGGGAGCCGCCACACAGCTCTCCCACCCCAGGCACCAGCAGGTCCACAGCAGCTGCCTGCAAGCGCAGTCAAAGCCACATTTCAATACAAACTAGATTATATTATAATAAATAGGAGGCTTTCAACAAATAAATAGTTAACGTCGGCTTACTGTATGAGGATGATCCTGGTTGTCTCTTGCATAAAATGGCTTTAAGTCATATGGGTAATCAGTGACAAAGACGGGCAAGTTGCCACAATGTTTGACTATATATTTCTCATGTTCAGTTTGAAGGTCACAGCCCCACTGCAAAAATACAAATATGAAACCACAGTCATAATGTTTGATCATAATTATATTAAACTTACATCTGTGGGGAAGACAAAATCCTCTGAGCTGCGCTGCAAGATGTCTATCGCTTCACCATATGAAATACTGTAAAATATATTTATGATGATCTATTATTTACATTACAGGTGTTATTTAGCATCATAAATTAAATCTGTTAATACTTACATAGCAAACCTATTTTTGAGCATAGCCTCTACAGTTTCCTAGTGTCAGAATAAGGTGAGAAATGCAATAATAAAAGTGTCTGTAATGTTGAATAAGTGTCTTTGAAACCTCACCCGGTGTCCTGGAGTCACATGTTTGTGAAACAAATCTACATCGTCTGAACACTGAGCCCAGACCTGCTCTGTGGCTGATCTGAACATGTCCTCCATGATCTAAACCAGAGAAAGTCTAAAGATTAAAGCTCCACTGTAACAGGGCACCAGGGCTCTTGGTTCACAGACAAATACCACCATACACAATATTAAAAAAGGATAGAGTATCGTAAATGCACTAATCATAGAATGTTAAACCATCATTATGTCAGAATGCTTTATGCACCTTGGTCAGATCCTCAACAGACTGTGTGAATGAGAGCTCCGCCTCCACCATGTAAAACTCAGCCAAGTGACGTCTGCTCTGCGAGTTTTCAGCACGAAATGTTGGCCCAAAAGTGTACACTCTAGAAAAAGCGCTAAAGAAACAGAAACATGTTTGAACTTTGCACAAATAAAATCTTTAATGCAAGAGTAAGAGATTATTTATTTTAGTATAAGAGTCATTATGTAAATCTTGTGCTGTGTGCTCCTCATTCCTACGGTTTGTAATTTGTGATGCAACCCTGAAATTTCCCCACTGTGGGACGGATAAAGGATCCCTTAATCTTAATTGTTTTATGTAAAAGAATCAATTAATATTCTAGTAATCTTACCCTGACATAACCTCCAAGTGAAGCTGTCCAGAGACTGTGAGATAGGCTGGTACAGAGAAGAACGAATCATCTTCTGAATCTTGTGGACATGTTGCCTGTAAATTAACAATTACAATGCATACAAGTTATCTGTGTCCTTAGAGTTATAGAGGGACAAATATGGATGTAAAAGCAATGTTTGAAAACTCACTTCAACTTGGAAGAGTTCTCCTGCTCCTTCACAGTCATTAGATGTGATCACGGGAGTGTGGATCTGCACAAAGCCCTTATCCTAACAGAACAATAAGTTATACATAGTTAAGTTGTTCATTAAAATCTTCTTTTTTCTGATATAGAGTAAAAAGTAACCTTGAAATATGAGTGAATAGCTGCAGTAGCTTCACTTCGTATTCGCAACAAGGAGCTAAAGGAATTAGTCCTACACCGCAGATGTGGAAACTGCCGGACATAGTCTGAGCTATGCCTCTTTTTGACCTTGAAGGGAAACTCCTGCATGATAACAAATCAGAGAATTGTGTTTAGTGTAGTATTTTCAATTCTTTGTCCAATAATTGATTGCTTTGTGTGTTTCTTTTTTTACCACAGGGTTACACTCTCCAACAATGTGAATATCTTCAGCTTCAACCTCAAACGGTTGTTTTGGGTGAGGACTTTTCTTTAGGACACCCCTGACCTCAACAGCACTGCCAAAGGTTGGGACGCTAATAGGAGGAAACACATCAATATTGTATTCATGCAGAGATAATATACAGGTATATACAGATAATCTTACAGGTTACTCAGACTGGATGAGGCAATGACCTGCAGGGATTGTAGTGAGCTTCCATCATTCACATCAAAGAAGAGGTTTTCCTTCTGAGATCTGACTGAGCGAACCCAACCCTATGCAAACAAAACAAGTTATAGATACAATACAATTCAATACAGATACAGTGAATACCGATCAAATCGAATGTTAGTGCTGTCAGTTTATGTGTAGCCAGGCTGCAGAAGAACAGTGTGTAAGCTAACTTTACTAATACAAATAAGACCTGAACCAACGAGCAGAAATGCATCATATGTAAAATACCTGAATAGTAACATCAGCCCCAAGTGAGACACCAGATAACGCTTCCGACACTCGCAGTGTTGTGGCTGTCTTCTTGCAGTAATTTCTAAATTCTAGCAAAGAACAAGAGCAACGCGGTCTCATAAAAGTCGTCTTGAATAGAGCACGAAACATTCTGAACGATTAACAAAGCGCTACAATTAAATACAGTCCAAACACGGAACATATTATAAGAAAATTACGAGTATAGCGACATAATAGTCCTGACATTCACGTCACGCCGTCACTTACTCTTCCTGTTTGAGTCTGTGACGATCATGATTGGTTATCTTTGATCACGTGATCACAAAACATAGCAGGTGCTTCTGGGAGTAGTAGTTTGTAATGAAATAAACAGCTGTTCGATTGCAATCGACATTGTAAATAAAGTAAACGTCATAGAACAACTAATTACTGCAAATGTACTACTTTAAGGGAATTATAATGCATTATCCATATTAGAATTGTATGTTTTGTGGTGTTTTGGTGGGGGTAAATAAATCAATTAAGTGGATGCTGGCCATGTAATAAATAAGTAAAGTAAAAATAAGAATAAAGTAAGTGTGTGTGTGTGTGTGTGTGTGTGTGTGTGTGTGTGTGTGTGTGTGTGCTAGCTTAGCAGGGTTGCATCGGCTTTAGTAAGTCGTCTAAAACACAATTTTATTCACTGCTATTAATGACAATTGTGTGTTGTGTGCCTGTCTTTTGTTGATTGTATTTATTAATTATTTCTAATGTAGTTGTGTTTCTATGCATATATTTCCCTATAATTTATATTCCGTGCGCTAGAAAACACTTGTGTATCAGTAAAAGTGCTATATAAATAAAGCTGGAATAGATTGGATATAGTGTAAAGTGTGTAATAAGCAAACACATTGGCCCTTCTTTATATAAAAGGATGTAACCGACGCAACACAGCAGCAGCGATCCCATAAGGACACACACTAAAATAGATTAAAAACGGCCTCCAACAAGGTCAAGATGCGAAGCAATGAAAAACATAGCCTATATTTTAAAGAATTCGACAAGCACATGGAGTTATATTCTATTGTGAGAAGCAAGGACCTGGAGATGCTTTTTAATCTTCGATGATATATGTCCCCGTCAGTGCCTTCGTCCATTTATGCGTAAACCTCGTTAATTCAAAACCCCGCGACAACTGGGTCTCCCACCATTTGCTGCTCGAGTAAATCAGTGCAAGCCTGCGATGTAATAAGATGCCATCGACAATTACTCACCTGGTCTCGCCTGTCAGTTCTGGAGCCCCTGGCCTGTTTTTGGCAGCAAACACAGCGCTTTAGTCTGCACCTACGGCGGCTTATGACACACAATCATTAGGCCCCGCATGATGCATTAGAAAAGGCAGCGGGGTCATTGATATCAATTATCTCCAGGCTCCTGCAATGAGCCGTTCTGCACATGCACACTGTGATCATGCAATCGTGCGCAATGTTGTAAGTAAAACAACCATTTTGGGTCATAAAGCGGAATTTATGAAGGCATTTGCACGATGGATGCAACAGGAAATTGAACTAATCTATAGAGTTCTTTGCAATCAAAACAGTTAGCGCTAGTTTTCACAGGCATGCTGGCTTCGTCACATTTTTAGATCAGCTTTTTTTATGTAGAAAAGTGAGAGAAAAAAAAAAGAAAACAGTTCACCGTCACTCAGCCAGTCAGCTTTCAGATCAGAGAGTCTGCACAGTGACACACAGGGCTCTTTCTTACAAGAAAGTGTTTTGTTTTGTTATTTATGTGGTCATATTTGCTCATAAAATGTTACCTTTACAGGACTCTTTCTGTTGGGACTAATCCTACGTATGATTTATGAAAAAGTCCGGTTCCCCAACTTTATAGACTTATAGACTGACTTGTCCGCTTTTACATTTTAGTTTTGTAGTACCACATATTGCCACAGGGTAGTGCTGTGGCTCCATAGCACGTGCTTCTCCTTTTAGCAAATTCCCACCTACTGAAAGGCAGATTTATTCATTTTCCTCTAGAGTTGCGAGCGATATATTATTCATTTGCAGCTCCAAGGTCTACTGAAATGGAAACAAGCTGGGATTGTTGTGTTCTTTCTGCAGTTCTATCAAGAATCACCACATAGTTGAGGCTAAATGCACAACCAATGAATGACTATAGATGTCTTGTTGTTCCCCAGCTCTGAATTAATTCCGTTCTCAGAGGTTTGGCACATTTTCTACCACAGAGGAGACAAATGTATATTGGAATTGTGTTCATTGCTCCCGGCAAAACATTATGACCACCTGTCTATCATTTCCCAAAGGCAATTTGTTCTTTATCAGATTACATTTTCAATTTTGAGCAACAGATCAAATGCTAGACCTGAGGCTTCACTTCACCCTCGCACCTGTTAGTTCAGCACTGCTCCTTCAGCACCAAAAGCTTCAAAGCCATTTGAATCTACAATAGTTTTACTTATCACCGATACCGTTACTGGTATTGAATATTTGTGAAAACCAAGGGATAATGGGTCACGGTTCTCTATGGTATTGGTAAAGCTAATATCTTGATTTAGGCCAGAACGTCATCATAATTTCACTTTTACTCATACAAAGTCGCTCTGGTGTGTGCTGCTGGATACATACCTGTGAAAGCTCACAATTGGACACATTAGTGATAATTTAGCTGTGATTCAGAAAAAAGAAAAAAAAATACAATATTGACATAACTTAAATTAAAAAAAAGTTTGATTGGTGTATCCATCCCTTTACCAAACCAAATACAGTTTTCATAACATTTAAAATCCATTTCCATGAACCAATGAGACAACTCTAAAATGCACTGTGTAGATCAGTGGTTCCCAAATCGTCAAAAACACTCATAACTCCATGTAAAATATATCACATTTTGAAATAGTTCTAAGTATCCTCTTATTGAATCACTCTTGTAGATCTATTCCACCTTTAAACATGCAGGAATAAATTATGTAATGCAGGAATGACAGAAATAGTATAGAGAGAAATCCATGTTGTCTTTGAGAGTCATCCCACAAGCCTTTTACAGGTGCAGAAGATGTTGACAGTGCCCTAAGAACCTTACTTGGACTTGTCAAAATCAATACATGATTAGTCAGCAAAACAAAGGCTTTCGCTGTAAAAGCCAAGGATGAGAGCGCGGAGCGAGCAGCCTACTGATGACTGCAGCTCTGCCCCTGTCACCACGCAGACCTCCCCCAAATATTGAGCATTCTCAAAAGGAAAGGGGCATTGATTTTATGTAACATGGCTCGTTAAGTGCTGATTAGACCATTATAGTGATGTGATTTCAGGGAATGGAGTTTGGTGACACACAGCCAAACACAAATCAGAAAAAACTAACAAAGCGGAGAGGGAAAAAGATTTGGGCTACTGCACCTCACCTGCACCTTGCATGAGCAGTGCCTCTGTGTCAGCATGGGCCTAATAAAGCAGCGCAGGCACTCGGCAACTTGAGAAGACTATTTTGTGCTTTATTGATGTTTTTGTTGAGCAAAAATGCTGATGCAGTTCAGGATGGTATACTCCAGTTCACCCGTGGACATCTAAGAGGTGTATGTGTAGAACTCAGAATTAGGAAAAAGCAATACACATGAGTTATGTACAAGTGTAGTTCTTTGCTTATGCGTAATTGTCTGCAAGCCACTACTATTTTCATTACGGTAGAGTACCACCATAGGGCACAGGAAATAATTTGGAGACAGCTCCATCAACTTGTGTTTATACTTGAACAGTACATAGAGAGTCGACACGAGGAAATGCAGGTAAACACGCGGGACGAGGACTTATTATTTTGACTCCATCAAGTTTTTGTAGCTATTTGATGAACGTTTATTGTCAAAATAGATTGGTGAGTCTTGACATGGATGCGAACAGTTTAGGTAAGCATGCTAACGTGGGCTAATGTTGCCTTCTCAGAGTTCATTGTGCTATTTCCTAACACCAACATTAAATTATGTTGGTAAAACAGTTAAAAGGGTCGTCTTCCAGGTTTGTTTTGCTCTAATGGTTGGTACATGCAAACATATTTTTTCAAGTGTGGCCTATATGTGGACAAAATTGACAAATAACCCGTAACCTGTAAAAAAAACATAACTCAATGACTTCAAAAATACTGTTTCCAATTACCACTTGACTCCTGTTAGAACCTTAGACTGTATATATTAACGGACGTAGTCACCCCTATCGCCGTCATTCTAACTAATGGGCCAAATGGGCTTTCATGGAGTGATTCAAAATGGCAGCGCGGGCTGGAAAATGTGAAAAAACGCATCTGCGCATGCGTCAGCCGGCACGAGCTCCATTCATTTAAAACGAGTGCCTTCAAAAATTCACAGCAAGTAAACTAGACTCGTCCAAAAAAATTCTCTCCCCTCAGCATTGACACACGTGTGGAACGGAGCTTTGGGCCAAGAGCCAACTTAAATGTTTGATGATTGTGGCTTACAGTCCATTTTCTAAATATTCTATTTTTGGCGATGTTCTGATTGGGGTTTTTCACAAGCTGTAAGTCGATTATCAAAATTGTAATAAATAGAGGCTGTTGATATGCTAATGATATTCTAATTGTCTGAGTTTCACCTATGTGTCAAAGTTGTTTCCATTTACTATTAATCATGGTCCTAATAACACTAATTTCTCAGTTCATGCAGAAGAGTCACAGTCCCAGATATAATGTAGCAACTTATTAAGTATTTCTGCAATCATCATTTTGAATAACGATGTCTACTCAATCGAACAGACTGTGTTTCTAAGTCTTCTACCCATAAAAAAACAATATTACAAAAACATTTCCGGAGATAAGTCTCAATTTCTTGTCATTTTCAAGGCTAAAAAATAGGATCCTGCTTTGAGTTTTTCTCCACTCTTTTCCGCACTATTATTAGTTTATGTAAGCCTTCCTTGTAGTTATTAAAAAGCACTTGCATCATTGAAGTTGCTAGATCTAATTTTGCGGGTACGGCTGACGGTTTGCCATGGCGCTGGGAGATGTTGTTGCTTCATATATGGGAAATGGTAAATACTGATTGCACTGTTGTACAAGCTGCATTCATTCTATTTCTTTAGGCACAGTGAATGAATAAAGGGAGTGAGTGTGCATCAGGACTGTATACTGTATGTACAATGTAATAATGGTACAAACCTGAACAGGACCAAAGAGGTGATACTTGCAATCTGAACTCTCACAAAGAAACAGAGCAAATTTACATCAGGGGAGCTCGCCTTATGCGTTTCTTTTGCTCTGCATCTGTGTGGTCTATTGCTGGTACATTAAGAC